CGTTCATCACTGGGCCAGAAGGTCTATGATTAAACCAAATTATGCAACAATGAAGCTTTGTGCAAGTCATTAGATCGTATGGTATGGCAATGAGGCATATTTATGAATATAATGTAAAATGTCGCATTCCCGCGCCGTTAGCTATTCGATGGTGTAATGAAGTGTGATGTGTGAGGGCGTTACAAGCAAACCACTGAAGCGTGAAGCGAAGCACTGAAGAATGAAGCTCGGCACTGAAGCATGACGAACGTCACTGAAGTATGAAGCTCGGCACTGAAGCATGACGAGCGTCACTGAAGTATGAAGCGAGGCACTGAAGAATGAAGCTCGGCAGTGAAGCATGACGAACGTCACTCAAGTGTGAAGCGAAGCACTGAAGCATGACGAACGTCACTGAAGTATGAAGCGAGGCACAGAAGCATGACGAACGTCACTGAAGTATGAAGCGAGGCACTGGATAATGAAGCTCGGCAGTGAAGCATGACGAACGTCACTCAAGTATGAAGCGAGGCACTGGAGAATGAAGCTCGGCACTGAAGAATGACGAACGTCACTGAAGTATGAAGCGAGGCACTGGAGAATGAAGCTCGGCACTGAAGCATGACGAACGTCACTGAAGTATGAAGCGAGGCACTGGAGAATGAAGCTCGGCACTGAAGCATGACGAACGTCACTCAGGTATGAAGCGAGGCACTGAAGCATGACGAACGTCACTGAAGTATGAAGCGAGGCACTGAAGCATGACGAACGTCACTGAAGTATGAAGCGAGGCACTGAAGCATGTCGAACGTTACTGAAGTATGAAGCGAGACACTGAAGTATGAAGCGAGGCACTGAAGCATGACGAACGTCACTGAAGAATGAAGCTCGGCACTGAAGCATGGCGAACGTCACTGAAGTATGAAGCTCAGCACTGAACAAGAACCAAGGTCACTGCAGCAGATCGCGGCCTTCAAACTTCCGGTCATCACATCCATTTAGGTTGCCATGATGCAAAAATCATAGTTTCAATCCAACCAATCCTTGCCCAGTGCCCAGCCGATGACCGCCTCTTAAATGCCGCTGTGATTTCCAATTAGGCATTGAGCCTGTAAGCTCGTTACCTGAAGCTCTACAATCGTGCTGCTAATTTAAAAGCATTTTCGTTGTGAAAAAATCTGAAGATTTGCGCCATTGCCGAGGCTGGGTTGCCAGTAATTGGCCTACCACCATCAGCTATTGAATTGAACTTAATCTTCGCTTGAGCCTTCATATTCTGCAGCTTACCATGCAGTACAGTGTAGAAAATACGTTCACTGAAGCTCAGATCATGAACGTCTATACCCAAGCAATTGGAGTGTCAGTGTGCATTGAAATGTGAAATTAATGGAAATTTAAATGGTATAGTGCTAATTTTTCTCCTTATAGCAAATCAAGTTAGTTAGAAATAATTTTCTTCTACTCGTTTCGGATAATTTATTTCTGGTGCACGGAAATGAAGCCCGAGCGCATTATAAGTTCGTTTCTCAACTGAGAATTTAGACAATTCTTGACTTACCGCTCTTTACTGAACTAATTAACAAATAACAAACTAATTAAAAAATCGTACTTATTTAATAGCGTTTAAGAAGCCGTTTTGTACTATCTATATACTAAACTGACATCCCTAACTCTTTACCGGAGTTAGAGATGTCGTTTCCTCAGCTTAATTTTTCACTTGAAAAACACAAATAAAGCCAGCACATCATACAATTAAAGCCAGCACATCAAACAGTTAAAGTCAGCCCCTCATACAATTAAAGCCAGTACATCATACAGTTAAAGCCAGCACATCATGCAATTAAAGCCAGTACATCATACAATTAAAGCCAGCCCATCATACAATTAAAGCCAGCACATCATACAAATAAAGCCAGCACATCAAACAGTTAAAGTCAGCCCCTCATACAATTAAAGCCAGCACATCATACAGTTAAAGCCAGCACATCATGCAATTAAAGCCAGTANACCGCAGCACGAGTCCTCAAGAGCAGCACGAAGTTCATTCCTCGCTCTTCATTATACCGCCAGACCGCAGCACGAGTCCTCAAGAGCAGCACGAAGTTCATTCCTCGCTCTTCATTATACCGCCAAACCGCAGCCCGAGTCCTCAAGAGCAGCACGAAGTTCATTCCTCGCTCTTCATTATGACGGCGTTGGCCTCTTGGCAGAGAGCGAAGGGCTCTGCCAACGGGCGTCGTGGAGTGGAAAATTGCGGGCATGGAGCGCTTTCCGCGGGATTTCCTCGGACTGTCGCTCGAAAAATGGCGAGAAATTAGGGCACACTTCTTATATGAAAATTTCATTCGAACGTGGATCAAGTTGAAAAGGCTATTATGAAAGGGAAATCTCACATTCCACAATGGATAGTTGTTCTATAATTGCAATTTTGGACTTTCAAAATCTGCTCATTCGAGCTTACTAATCTTATCTTGCCAGTAAAAACATCTAATGAAGATAAAGTTCATTTCAAGAATGTTTTCAATAAGTCGTGACCTAGCCCAATTACTTGAGTAGTTTTGAGTAAGATATTTCTTTAATGGTAATTCCGAAGAGAATAAAGATTATTATTTAAACTCATATCACTCATTCATACAATTTCAAGCAGAGAAGGTAACTGTAATATGTAGTTATGTTCTGCTTTAACCGCTCAAACACTGATTAAAACACCTCATTTTTGCAGGAAGTTCTTGCAAGCTTTGCAGAATTAAAAAGATCTTTAAGTAAAACTCGAGCTTGTTACTTCCACCACAACAACTTCCATAGCTCGGAACTAATTGCCTTCTTTTCCAGCAACTTTGAAGCCAAAAAAATAGCAGAAAAGTATTGCTGTAGCTCACGTTTTATTGAAAATTTTCATCGGTTGTTGTGTTCTTTTCTTTGCTCTTGCCTAATGCAAACTTTTTTCATTTGCGAGACGAGGAAGCGTAGCGCTTTGCTGAGCCAACACTAGAAGAAACGTCAATCCCTTTAGTGACCGTTAAAACAACTGCAACTTATTGGGAGTCTTTAGAGTACCGAAATGTGGAATACTTAAACGTACCTTGAAGGGGCCTTTCTTAAATTCATCACTACGGCTTTCTGGTCATTTTGTGTGCATTTCTGAATAAAAAGTGAGGTTCGAAAGCTTGAAATTTCCTCAAAATTTTTGAGAATTGAAGTATGGTTTACCCGTCAAGAATAGGCTATGTTTTTTCAAGTTTCTGTAATAAATTTTATCAAACAAGAATTTAGAAGTATTTTTTCCAACTTGCATTATTTTCATTAAAAACGTGAAGGAGATGTGCTAATATACCAGGAATTATAAACTGGAAGTTGATCATTCCGAACATAATGATTCAGAAATTATTTTTAAATAATCATTTATTCTTCAATATCTACCGTGTAAACTTAATTGACCTTTCGATTACGCTTGCATTATTGGAGTTTTTGAACTGACGAAACTGGTCTTCGAAACATTTTCAATCAAAAAGTTTGGTATTCCATCATCATTTCCATTGTTCTACAATTTTTTCAATGTGAAATTTAAGCCAAATATCAAATGAAAACATATTTCCATAATAAAAGATTTATAGTTAAGGTTTGTGCTGAATTATAATCCGATTGTTTTTTATTTAACAAGTCCTCAAATATTACCTCCATGAAAAAGTAGGTTAATTCATGAAGAACATCTAAAAAACTGAAAATCTTGTTAGTAATTTTTCATTCGAATGTATTAGCGGCAAATAACAGATGTAGAAAAAATACAACGACAATAATATTCAAGCCTTTTACGCACCGTCTCCAATAGAAGTTGGACGATTTTTAATTCTAGTATCTTGATTAATTATTTCATAGCATAATTTGATGTCAAGTGATAGTCAATTTAAGATTATCCTGTTAGATCACACCAGTTTTTCGATCATTTTATTTCACTTTCAGGCCTACTTGATCACATATCCAAGTATCTTGAGATAAATTATTTTTCAGTGAGAATTTTCTTCCAGGTGTTTTCATCCACATTATCTCCAAGTTTCAAAGTATTTGTGGCATTATCACTCACAAGTTTTTCAATCAGATGCCGCATGGTCCAACAATAGGAATAGTGCGAGCAGTTCTCCGGCTCAACCGTGCACCAGATATATACTTTAGACTATAGCAAAGGTTCTTCGAATTTCAAAGAGTCAAATAGAAAGCATTTCTCAAAAGAATGGATCCAAAGGACCATTCAATAGGGCAGGAAATTACCCTCTGAAAAATGACTCGCTTTCTCGTGGAGCAAAAGTTCTAAGGCTGACTTAAGTCAACCGTTGGGCAAAACTTGAGATTCGACTGAAGAAATAAGATTAAAAACGCGTTTGAAGAAGGAATTCGTATTTTATGGCTTCACTCCAGGAATAATATCCCTGGATATCTGCAGCTCCCAGACTACCGATGCCCGATTCCGTGTGATCTTGATACCGTGGCTATCGGAACCTACGAAGCCTTTTTATCATAGAGGAGTGGGATCATGTATGATCGAGTGTCTTATAAATCATCTTCTCATAATTGGAAGGCTTGGAGAAATCGCAACGCAATGTGATTATTATGGCAACGTTAGGGGGCTTTTTATGTTAAGGTTTGAATCATTAGCTTTAGAAAACCTAGCTTCTGCGCAATTATGTTCCGTGTAATCACAAATTAAATGGTCGAGAAATAAAATTTTCTTCTGCAAGATTTGAAAAACACTAGTTGACCATAACCCTTAGATGGAAAGCCGCAAAATGCACGTAAATTGCTTCAGTCATTTTGCTATTATGTGCTTATTCATGAAAATGACAAGCCTCCCCGCTACGACTAAAGATAACAAAATACTACCTTGCTTATATATCGTTATTAAAACTAGACTTTTCGTTTATTTCCCTGCTTAGTGATTTAACTAAGAATTTCAAGCTCCTGAAGTATATATACTAATTAATTTTCCATGAAAATTTGCATGCAAAATAAGCAATAAAACAACAACAGATAGTGTAATTAAATACTTTAAGTAACATGAAAACAGTACAACAGCAAATGCAAAGAAACAACCGAAAATCCGCGTCAACAAAACACAACAAAGTAACGTATTCAATAAAACATGTCAGAAGAACAAACAAGAACAAAATTTTTTACAATCACTTCCGATAAGCATAGCAGTTAGCGCTTCACAGCGAGCTATTCGAGCGCCATATATCTCCGTGAAAAATCGTTCAAATTTGTGAAACATATTGGCGTGATTTTAAATAGTGGAATAATTGGCTCTCGTTCACAGATCACTAAGTTACATAAATTTATGCGGCTCTATTTTGAGAGAAACTCGATACACTAATTTTTTATTCATGTTTGTAATTTATTAAAGCGAAATAATTTGAGTAGATCCAGCATTAGCATGCATTGCAAGTGGATAATTACTCTCGTAACTGGGCGAGCGACACCACCATCAGCTATGCTTGTCATTATGTTAATTTTACTATTGATGCAGTCTAATTGATTGGCAATAATGAACAGCGTCTATTTAAGGTAATTCTCATGCTACAGTAAAACAAAACTAAACCTATTGAGATCACAGCAATGAATTCCGCGAAACAGAATAAAGTGCTGCTGAGATGTAAAATTCATTAGAGACACATCCATGGTTCATGAATTATAAATTTTATATAACCGAGTTGAGCTAATATACTGCACGTGGATTTTGAATTCTTCACGAATAAATCTTGGAAACTCATCACAGAAGTGACGCATACGATCATTTCATTTCATGCTTTGCTCCAATTTGTTATCGTCAATTAATCGTTGCTGAAGATCGATCTCCATGGTAACAATGCCGCTGTCGCGCCGATCCAGACAAGAACTTGAAAATTTCTCGGAAATTACAACGTCGGTCCGAGTCGAAGAGCACTCACTTGCTAAACCAAATTCGCTCGAAGAACCAGACTCGCTGATTTCTAACTCATCCATAGCGCTAGATTTTGAGATTTGCGAATCTTTTAGTTCTGTGCTCTTAGCTTCATCTTGCAAAGCTGAAATATTTATACTGGACGCTGACTTGCTAGCTTCCTGAAGCAGTTGCTCTTCATATGGCAACATGTGAGCAGCCATGAGTGTCCAGCAGCTGGAAATTTCTTCAAGCTCTGATGGCTTGTAAAGTAGTTTAATTCTGGGGAAAAAATTTATCGTTGGTACAAGTTCATCACATTAGTCTGCTGTTCACTTAGAATGCTAAAATAGTCATGAATAACATTTAATTGTCTTTTTTAAATCTTAGTTCACTGAATGCGAGATTTTATCTCTGAGATTTAATGCATATAATTTATCTTTATTATTAAACCAACTTTAAAAATTCATGAATTGGTCTCGAAAAAAGACTATACTGACAAAAAACTTTACTAATAACTAAATTTAATCTCATTCAGTTACACATAACTACTTGCTCATCAAAATAATTTCTTCTAACATCATTGTTTACAATAAAAGAACTCACGCTAACACGAGGGCCGATACAAGGGTCGGATCTGCCTTATATTCCTGTTCTTCCTCAATTTCCCCTCGTTCGTTGACATCGTGGTGACCGCCCTCATCCTCTCCTGGAGGATTATTAAGCAAGGCACAGCATTGTGGTGAATGGTCATCCAAACACCATTCGGGCTCATCAGAAAGTGAGCAACTTGCACAATGCATAGTTTCTTCGTCAATAAGACACTGTAAGTGGTCAGATTTTCCTGCTTCGAAGAGACAAGGTAAAGTTCTTGCAAGTTCGGGCTCTAGAATGGAAATGGCACTCAGGAACGCTGCTGCCGCCTGAACACTTGGCGAATATTGAGTGATGTCGTAGCGGCAAAGACACAACTCGGATACACGGCGGGCTGCTCGAGTCACTTTCCTGGGAACAATTTACAAGAGTAAACAGAAACTCGATTTGTTCAGAATAGCTGTAAATAAAAATATAGCACAATGCATTTAGAGCATCAGAGAGAACAGTAAGCGATTGGCGCTGAAGTAACTGATAAAAACTTATACAAATGATGAAGTTGGAGGAGAAAAAGAAAGGAATGAAGCGAGAGACAGACAAAGGAAGAGGGATAGAGGTACGAGCAAAAGAGAAGAGAGGGAAGAGGAAAGAAAATAGCCGAAAAATATGAGGCAAGAAGCGAAAAGCTTGAAAAAGACAGCCGAAAGAGTTCGAAACAAAATTTAGCCAGCGGAAGAAAGAGCGCCAGAGATAAGAAGCAAAAAACAACGAATCTAAAATAGCCATGGAAATTCACAATACGTTATGAATTGTCCGAAATAGTGCCTAATATAAGACCAAAACCGGAAAGTACTGCAAATGATATAAAGAAGTACCTATTTCAATAGCAATCATACCACGTGTGCAATAATTGCAATAATTTTATTTTACGTCAGTCTCACCTATCCAAGTACCCCAGCTGACAAGCCTTGAGCGCCAGATGGTTAATGAAATACCAGCTCGTTGGGGCGTGCAGGTAAAAACTGTGACAAAAAATACACACAAAATTCATCTCTTCCGAGGTCGAGAATGTTGTTCATCTCTCACTACGGACCATATTAATTCTCATCATTTCCTAGCATGAGTGGAATGAATCTGTGTATTTCTCAAATTATATGGGGGAAATTGTATGTAATAAATTAAATTTCAATAATGATCTCCGTAGACTTTAATACGTAACTTATAATAATAATAATAACATATAACAACCAGCCAGATATTCTTGTAATTCGAATTATCCGACAAAAAGTAACAACTTTCAGAATAAAATTATGTCTCTGTGATACCGGCCTCTCAAGTTCGAAGCGATCAGTAAAACATTCGATGCCGACGATAAATCAACATAATAAATAATTGAGAAATCATTAAAACTTTAATTAGTAATAGTTATGTTAGGGAATGTACATAATAATTTATACAACTATAACCGAGTATTTATCTTGCGCAACTTTTTCGTTACCCAACAATACTCCCGGTTTTGTTTAACATATTCTTTTCCTTCCGAATAACGAACTTTTAATTTTTTCTATATCTTCTATAGCAGGGTACAACTTGATAGCAAAGAATATTATTCTGAGTAAAAATACAACCAATTCAGGTGGCGTTTGAGTTGAAAGTTTAACGGTAAAGTATAACACTGCATGCCTTGTTGTGAAGAGGACCAAGCTCTTCCCGTGAGACCACTGGAATAGAACAGCGTCTAGTGTTTTACGGGCATTATAAAAGAACAGTAATAATGATGGTTCGGTCGGGGAGGCTCGGTCGGTAGAACCAAGCGCTTTCCAGGAATATAAATTAATATATACTGCCATATATTAGTTAACATACGATACTTATAGCATCGACCACTTTTTAGCATTATGCGAGTTGATATCAATTTTGTTAATTCAGCTTGTTAATTGTTAAGATAATTCGTGTTCGAACATCAAAAGGCGTTAGTCGGTTTCGGTACAAATTGGTTGAATAATATTTTATGTTGCGAATGAAGGAGCAAATGATTTTCAGATGCAGGTTTTCTTCGTAACCCATATCTTTTCATATGTTGTTTATATAATTTTTCTTTCCGGCTTTACTCAAATTGTGATAGAATACACGGGTCCAAAATTGAATAAATCATCATTTTTCCTAAAATTAATAAGTGTATATTTTCGAAAATGTTGTCAATTCTTTTATAACTTAACTAACTTACTCGAGTGAGTGAGCGATGTCAGTGAGTGAGTGAGACATGGTTCAAATATCAATGCACTTTTTGTTCTTGTGCGGGCCATCTTAGACCAGTTTATCCAGGGAAATGGAAGTATCAGCGTTACGTGCATATATAGTGTCCAATTTGAACAGAGTCACAGTCATTTTATCTGAGTGATTCTTCTGTGAGTGATTCAAACAATTTACACTTGTTACAGTTAATCCTGAAGGAACAATCCTTAGCACCGTCTCCAGAGACTCCCTCACCCTAGTTTCGTGAGCAGCAAAATCTCCATACGGCGGAAGTGATGTCGCTGGAAGGGGGCGCTGCAGACGCGCGAGAGAGCACTTATGCCAGGCACTTTGATCTCTTCCTGCTCGAGAGACTATCTATGATTTATCTATTGTGAAGGTACCAAGCATAAATCAAGTATGATCTTTTATTTAGTTATTGTGAAGGTACCAAGTACAAATCAATCATGATCTATTATTTAGTTATTGTGAAGGTTCCATGTATAAATCAAATATGATCTATTATTTAGTTATTGTGAAGGTTCCATGTATAAATCAAATATGATCTATTATTTAGTCATTGTGAAATAGCATCGAAAAAAGAATGACGATCTATTATTTAGCTATTGTAAAGGTACCAAGTATATATCAATTCTAATCTATTATTTAGTTATTATTAAATAGCATATATTATTTAGTTATTGTTAGTGTGAAATAGCAAAAAGACCAAACTCCATACTGTACGAAGAAATTAGAACGGCCGCCTTCGCTCTGGATTTAAATTGTGATAAAATAGGATGGATGATGTTCTAAATCACATTCTGAATATCATTGTGGAACATGAAATTTAGATGAAGTATTTCAAAGCTTGAAAAGAAACACATACATTATTGATAACAAAAATAAAATTTAAACCACTCTTAAGGAAGAAACCCAGATGATATTAGGAGGCATGGCCTAAAAGTAAAACAATACACTATGATACAATACAGCAAACTATGCGCTCATTCTGCTAAATAGTCTAACTCAATGTCTAGAGTAATTGCAATGAAATGTTCAATTCGCCGGTCTACCGATGACCGTCTTGCATGCAACCATATTAATTGAATTTCTGAACAGGAATCATTTCAGAATACTTATTTTCAGACTGAATAAAATATATTGCACTCCATAAAGTATTTCTCCATTAAGTGTAGCAAGTGAAATACACGAGTTTCCCCAAATGTGAACGATCAGAAGCCCTCGCCATCCTTGCATATCATTAAAATTCTTTTATCATCAAGGCAACGGATGGTGGCAGTCTCAGGGATTGTTTGTATCCAATTAGAACGGGAATTGCAAACCAAAACATCAAAGGCAGACAACAGAAGAATCGTGCAACGCACTTTCATTTAACACGAAACGCACATAATTCAATGTCTAGCACACGAGATTTCGTTACGAACCCCACGCGCGTCCCAGATGTCTGCAACACTTGGCAGAGTTATTGCAACGATCCTAGTTTGTTGGTCTGACAATTATTATCAGCGATTAAACAAGGTAAATTTAACATGGTAAACTTCAATGAAATAAATATTAATATTCTGCTTCAGGGTAATTTGAACAGGAGCACCCAAAAATTTCTGAAGATTCAGCAGAAAAGTATACAAAATTTTGTTCAAATTAACGGCTAAGGATGAGAAATAATATCTTTTGATACTTAACTTGAATAAATTTCCTCAGTAATATACGAACCATTGTGGTTTTTAGATAACAAATCTCAAAAAGATTGTGTTAATCTACTGCATGGCTGAAGACGTTCAGTAAATAAATGCACAAGTTAGACGAGATCGAGCAAAGCAGGGATTGCTAGGAACTGGTATCAAGGATTATTCTCCTTGCACTACACTGAAAAAGAAAGTACTAATTCAGGAAGCTCTTTGAAAATTTATTTTTTAAAGTGATACAATGGAAGACAAGAATTTTGCAAACAACGCGTGCGCTTCAGGCCGAACCCTGACATCAGGAAGCTGAAGCCTTGGAGACGAGATTCTCGCTTGAAACGCTTCAGCCGCTCCTGCTACACAAGGGCTAGACACAAAGCATGCATTAGCGATGCTTCGACGGATTGTCTCTCGAGAATTGTTGGGACTCCTGTACTCCTGTGACGACTGTTCCTAGTCGAACATCACACGACAACGCCCACAATTTCCTCCCTAAATGCTTCTTCAAAGTCGCTTGTCAAAATTTCGCTGCAAGGTTGTTGCTTTTGTGCGACAAACCGCCAGCGGCGAGCGTTGTTAGCGATTACTTTGCACCAAAGCGAAACGTTATTACGGAAACTTCACTGAAACTCGCAACTATCGGCGATGTGTGCGGGAAGTGCAAGAAAGAAAATGTTATGAAAATCAAACGAGTCTGGCTTTAATCTATCCCAGACACACTTATACTGCAACTTGTCGGTTAAAATACCCTTTCTAATAACTCTTTGCAGATGAAACAATCCAATTAATTCGTATTAATTAGTTGATACGTCACAATGAACATGAGGGTTTTCAATTATTTTATGAAATCCATGTGATCAACAGCAATGTGAAATTGTTTGTTCGAATTATTACGCTGAAGCTATTATTCATCAACTTATTTAGTGGAAACATGACGTCCAACCTTAGGGTTTTTAATTAATTATATGCTAGTAACCACAAGAGGCGCGTGGAAAGGTCAGGAGTCAAGCAATGATCGATGATCATCATTGATTAATTATTATCCTGTTATTATCATCATAGTCATCATTTCCCTATTCAATCAATGCTTTCAATGTAAACGCCACACGAAAAAACCCTCTCAAATCGAACCTCAATTTAGCGTCATGATTCTCGTCGACAAGCAAGATAAACAAGGAAGGTTTTCCAAGCAAGATAAACTTAATTCGATCCAACCATTATACAATAAAGGAAAAATTAAAGCTCTTTTGACAGATTTTAGCAATACTCCTTCAGTTCGTAATACGTTCCAAAATATAAAAAACCTTCCCATCTGTTCAAATGTGCCTAAACACTGAAAGTGACATTTTTTTCAGAAATAACTATCAACATAAACTTCGTTCACTCAACGTTCCCCAACTATAGTTGAGTGAGCGAAAGCGAAACGCATGGTAAACCATTCCATTACACTCAATACCGAGCATCGTCGTTGCCTGAATAGACGCTATTTATAGCGGATCATCAAGTACATCAATTACTAAGACATCTTGAAAAGATTGGAGGCTGGTGATTGAGGTCTCAGATCGTCCTAAAAACCGATGTGATCGAGGTGTATACGACACGCATTTGAGCCGCTGCTGCTGCTGCTGCTGCTGCTCGGGTCCAATGGAGTCATCAACGGAATCGAGGTTTGGACATTTTTGCGGTCGTATCTTAGCCAACGTTCTTGATGAAGCTCTTCATAGTAGGAGGAATAGTCAGCAAGTGGATAAACAATATCCTTGCCCCTGAGTATTAATATGAAAATCTAATCCGAAACATGCAACAGGGAACCATGTAGATTGGTTAATTGATAACACGTATAAGCGGACCGTGTACGGTTAATAATTAAACGAAATTGGTAGACAGCGGCCAACTTATATAGCTGATGCAAACGCAAACAGAATCAGTCTTTGAGCTGTGAGTAGTTCATAAGTAACGGAATAGAGAATAATACATCACTGTCATTACTTACAAAAAAAAACATTACATCTACACAACATAAAATCGTATAACAAGGGCAAAAAATTGGAGTACTCACCATTTTTGCGGCAACGAAGAGGGCGCAAACAGCGAGGAGTTGGACGCAGTCGCTCGCTATCGCAGATAAGGTCAAAAAGCGGTCTAAAAAATGGACGGCCAAAAATAACGTCTCGGAGCCAAAGTTGAGTTTTCTGTTGACTTTCAAGAGCCAATTGACGATGGCGCAACGAACGGGCTCCGTGACCTGTGAAAATCAAGCGTCAGCAACTTCGATGAACCTCGAAAAATTCGTCCTAGATCGGCCAGTGATTGTATAAACGAATTGGGTAATCTAATAAAATTTTATTATTGTCCAAACATCTATAGAACCAGACGTCATTCTTTAATTCCATGGATTGGAAACCCTGTAATGCAACACAAATTTCGGTTAGGAGTAAAAATATTCGTGTCAACATCAGTTGAAGGAATATTGCGTAATAATTTGACAATTTAAATCGAACACCTATCATAATGATCTTAAATTCACTTGTAAGACCTTAAAACAACCCAATTTAATTGCCGTAATTTGTAGTTTTCACCCTAACGTGTGTGAAAAACCTCAGAAGCTCTCAAATTCACCAAATTTCTCAGGGTACCGAAGCAGCTAAAATTTCCCTAAATAGTTTAGAAACGTTGAAGCAAATTGGCTCTGGATCGTAACGGATTATTTCCAGTTCACCGAATCTACAAGGAGAGCATTTTAACGTAATTTCACCGCTAAAGATAACTTCAGAAACTCCATTTCGATTCGGATGAACTCACTTTAAGTTTTGCTTGCTCTGGAAAAAGTCAAAACTGCAAAGCAGCAGTTAAATTTTGTTGAATGGCATATTTAAAGGCGAATAAGTAACGTTAAACAGAATGAATTAAAACACAATTGAAAATTCATCTCGACCTAGGAGCTTTTGATACAGAAAGAAAAGAGAAATAGGATAAAGAAATTCGTACCATGTTGTTCTGTAGGGAACAATTCTCAAAAAGATACCGAGATGATTTCAAATGACTAATAAATGAACGTATGTTCGCCGGTGAAAGGTGGCACATTTAGGCAGATATATCGAAAATCCATACGCAGGAATCGATATACCGCCAACTCGCATTATTCTAATTCTAAATCAAACTTCACAGCAGGTAAACACAACCTGCTTTAAACCCACGAGGGATAAAATTTTTTATGGTATTACAGAGTAATATAACAGAACAGCAAATGACATGTTCGAGGCAATGCGCGGAATTATCAGTCGTATCACAAACATTAATTTCATAACTTCAAAAAAATCAACAATCACAAAATGATGCAAGTAAAATGTAATGGATAATCACGATTTTTTACCTGCGGTTGATTTTCCAGACATCTTAATGGATGATATTTGATTTCCAAGGCTTTTTTGACCGCAAAGACGTCGTCGGCATACTGCAGGCCGAGCAGAGCGTCTGATGGCAAATCGACTCGCTGATCAGCGGAAGGCTCGTTTTCCTCTTCCAAATCGTACTCGATGAGTGATTCTGCGCCGAGCGACGATCGACGTCGAGGATCATAAACCCCGAGGCAAGAATCCACCGAGAGACGTCGAAAATGAGCCTCGTTGATCGAGATGTTGCTCCCTGCCAAGTGGAATCTTTTCCTGTCTTCACCCAACGAAAAACGTCGTCGAATGTTTCGCACGCAAGCTGTTCCAGTCGAGAATCTTCGTGCAAGGCACACGGGAGTTTTAATTGCTCCGTCGACTCCTAGCGAGGCTCTCCGGCAAAAATCTAGTACCGAAGAGTTCCGTAAATTGGAACTGGATGCTGAAAAGCCGTCGTCCTGGCAGCCTTCTGGAGTTTCAAGGGCAGGCAGTGGGTCTGAAGGTATATCTGAATTTTCCATAGCATAAATGATGTCATTCGGTGGAAACTCGGTCAGTGGTTCAGGGCTCAAAAAAAACTGCCGAAGATCGATTAATCACTGATATTTCCTGCAAGTGTTACGATTTTGGTTAAATAGATCATCATAATCAGGTTTTAACTTGAAATTCTTTAAGAAGCATTGATAAAAATGAACATATTTGATTGACCACGAAATCTACGCAAAAATCTGGCATAGGATAAAGTTTACAGCTGAAACCATTCTCAAATTTTCATTTGGGACTTTAATAATTTCAATCAATTAATCGAAGTTGAGTGACCTATAATCATTTCACTATGTAATTTCTACAAAATAAAGAAATTGTATCCCCTTTCCTCGCTATGTCAAATATCTAAAGACCGTCGTACGTCCATCGACAGACATTTATTTAAAAATAAATAGACATACATGTATGCGACGGAACGTGTGAATGGGAAATAAGCCCGAATTTAAATGGCACATCAAAGATTTAACAACTAAAAAGATCTCTTGTAAAGCGGCGAGTCAGAAACGCGAGGCCAAAATGCATATCCTCAAATACTCAAAAAAGATGCAGGGTCCTTAATATTCGAGTTAACGATCAAGCCGAACATGCATACTTCCAGCCAAAAACTCCAACACGTAGATGAAATTTAATCGAAAATAACTAAACACTTCATTGTTATGAATTACGCCCGCCATTGGGACGTGAGGGATCTTCAATAGTTATAGAATAAAAGGTCATATAATTCCGAGTTTTAAACAGCTTCGTGGTACTTAATTCGACTAAGACATTTGCAGGCCTTCACATAAACATTGTGAATTTCACAAATTCTAATTCGTTATTGTGATATTTCAATTTTCAACTAACTGCCCCTAGAGGCTAGATGCTTGCTTGACCAGTCGGTATTCAACTGTTACAGTACACGTCAGGGAACAATATAAAATTTTATATACCTAAGTATGATAATGAATATTTTAACTAGCAATATTTAGTAACAGACAAATACATGCATTTCAGATAATCAAACATAAAAAATTTCACAAAATCAAACAGTTCCATCATCCATGATCGTCATCTTTCCGACCCCAATATAGTTCCATGATCGCCATCTTTCCGACACCAATAGTTCCATCAACTTCAATGATCGCCATCTTTCTGACACCAATAGTTCCAGGATCGCCGTCTTTCCGACACCAATAGTTCCATGATCGTCATCTTTCCGACACCAATAGCTCCATGATCGCCATCTTTCCGACACCAATAGTTCCATGAACGCCATCTTTCCGACATAAATAGTTCCATGATCGCCATCTTTCCGACACCAATAGTTCCATGATCGCCATCTTCCCGACACCAATAGTTCCATGATCGCCATCCTTTCGACACCAATAATTCCATGATCGCCATTTTTTTGACACCAATAGCTCCATGATCGCCATCTTTCCGACACCAATAGTTACATGATCGTCATCTTTCCGACAGCAATTGTTTATGATCGTCATCTTTCCGACACAAATAGTTCCATGATCGCCATCTTTCCGACACCACTTCTAGGCTAGAGTCTTTATAAGATCGCAGTTAGGCCGGGTGGCGTCTTAGAAATGTTTCGCGTTGAACCTACTGGACGAGCGTGAAATTCTAATCAATGCATTCCTGCCATGAATTCCAAGTTCTTTCTGACGTGAGGCATTCAGACTGTAATTTCAGATTACACGCCACTTTCGAAACACCGACTCGCACTTCACCTGCACGACACCAATGACACCAGGCACAAGAAACTTAATCTCTTAGTGAAGGGAAGTAGCAATGGAAATTTGGTCCTGAAGTATGAAAGTAATTGAATTTTCATTGAGATTTGTCAGCAACACTAAAAAATACATAAATAACTGGCAGTATTTGTTAGTATTATTAGAATTCCAGACACATATATTTGAATAAGTATTTCACTGCAAAGCAATTCATTTTTTAGACCACGTGGTGCGAATGCAAGCGCCTCTCAGTATATTGACTAACTTTATAACTTCTATTTCTCGCGCGAACTTATATCTGAACTGGAACTGGGGTTAAAGTAAAGTTAGACATTGCCGTCCACTTCAGAATATAACTCCTCACGTTCGCTGAATATACAGGGTACATTTCGAATCACAGCTTCAATTCTAAAGAAAAACTCGCTTCAAATGCGAGTTTTTAACTACGAAAATTGCTAAAAGTTTTCGTGCCTAAACAAATGAGGCATGCGTCATTTGTTCATTACAAGCATAAAAGTTTGGCTAAAAGGTTAATTTTCTCGCTGTGATTCGAAGCCGTACTATGGAATAGCGGTTTTCAAATTGGCTTAATTTCGAGGTTAAAATTACTTCATGTTAATCAAATTTAGTGTTATGACACCCTCAAAAATTATTTTTCTCATATACGTTTTTAACTTGTTGATTGTTCTGCTAGCATTAGCAAACCAACAGGAATGCATTGCGGAAAATTGAACTAACATGGGATAAATGTATCGCGTCACTTCCAATGGAGTGAAAAAATCAAAAAAAAACATTTTACTGCTCTTGGTCTATTACATGGACATCGATCCCAATACTAATCATAACTGTCCGGTGATCTAGCTGGACATAACACTAGAAAATGTGAAGTCATGTTATAACACTGAAAACATTATCCTGCATTATAATGAACGCATCGTATTTTTATCAAGATACGTATGCAAAGAACTTTTCGACCAGAAACTTACAATTTTTGCTCGTCACAAACATGAAAATCGTCGAACAAAATATTAGATAATCCACATCTGACAATACACTTTTTTAGCTCTGAAAATAAAGGAAATTCTTAGTTAAAGAATTTCAATCTAACGTGCATTACAAACATCAATATATATGTTCGCAGAAAATACACTTTAGTGGCCAAAGAAAAAAACGCCCCCGATCTCAGAGATCGGTTGAAAAACAAGTTTTATTATTTGAAGCTGACGGCGAAGTATAGTTATTTAGAAAAAGGATGACGAATAACAAAATAATTCGGTTCATTATACAATCATTTCACTAAATAAATCGTAAAGCGTCCAACCCAATTCTTTAAATTAGCCAATCCCCACTTATTGCTTGCTATATAATTGGTTACTTTAAACGTTGCAGCATGTTTTACTAATATAAATGAGTGTTCCCGGCTTTTCTGTGTACTTACAGCTAAAATATTTTAATTATTAATAAAGGCATGTCAACAAACCCCACTATTTGCCGCACTCATAAGCTCAACGACACGTTCAACTGTCGTCTCCGAAAGGAATAATTAATTAAGTGGGGCGCCAAAACATGGATTTGATTGCTTGAACTTGCAGTACGTTTTCGGTGGCTCAGATTATTAAATCAAATAAAATAAATAAAATACTTTTTCGCTCCGAAAAAAAACTTAAAAAAAATACAAGGAAAGGGCAATCAATTTTTCAAAAAGCATGTAAGTAAACAATATAGGTACTAGATTGTAATTGCTTTTTATTTTTCGTTCATGATCGTGACTGGGGCAGTTAGCGGTCGAAGTTACGTTCTGAACATACAATAACATCAAAGCTTAACTTGCTTCCACTAAAAAATACTCTTTCGTTCGAGCTTCATCACTCAAATAAAAGTATTCACAGTTAAAATGATTTACTTCATGTATCGCTTCATGTATGAGCAAAGAGGAAGGACGAAGTAAAAGTGTCCCCGGTATGTCAAGTCAAATGATTTCAAAATATGGTATAAAGTTGAACGAAGCTTTGCTTACTAATTGACTCCGATTTTACTAACTGATTTTGCACTTTTGTGAGTTTAGCAATGAGGGAATGAAATTATATTCTGAAATAACAATAAATGCTTGTCAATTCTAAGTAATGTTCTAATACTAATGATTTCGAAGATACATATTACAAAAATTCATTCCCATTTTAGCGTATTTACTTTGCTCTTAGCGTTCTTTCTTTGTAACGAGTCACATTCTACATTCCTAAACAATCAATCTCCAAACATTCAAAAAATAATCAAGGAATTCTTTTGGAAGTAAAAAGCTCTAAGAACTGTAAGCAGAATTCTCACTACATTTTCTCAGAACGCTCTACTGAAAAATAACCATAAATAATCCCACTTATATACATCTCCTTAGAACAATATCCTATTAGTCTTCATAATCTTATCAGTCTTCCTAATCTTCATTAGTCTTCCTAATCCTAATATTATATATCACTTACTGAAACTGCATGATGCGCTATGTACAAGGAAGATTGTAATCGCTCTTTACAGCAAAAAGTTGTGGTTCAACTCGTATTAAAAAATAATGATATTTTATTACGTGTTTCAAATTTGTAGAACATAGTATCATCTTCAAAGTCTTTTAGCTGTCAAAAAATGGTGCCTTTGACCGGTCAGAAAACTGAAACATTTCCTGTGACTTCGGATAAAAATACATTTTGAAGAGTTCCATTGAAGCGGCCTTATGACGTGCGGGGGCTGAGCGGGCTGTACGTCGTGCAAACGTCTCCTCGAATAGCGCAATAACGCCAACTATGAATAGAAAATTGCCAAGATTTTAGGTCAGATTCCGGAGATCGTCGATGAACATAGCACCGTTCTGCTGCGAAACTTTGCATGAACGACAAGGCGTTTTATGACGCCGAGTTATTTACAACCTAACATGATGGCATTCCAATATGGTCACGTGGAATACAAAAATTCCGAGGCGAATACCACGGCTTGCTTATAATTTTAAATTTATTAATAGACCCTTTGAATTTTTAATATATATAGTCTTTTTTATTCAGTATCCATCCATTCATATATATTTTATTTATTTTTAATTCATGCTCATTGAATCTGGGCGTGCCTGGTATGCATAAAACAAATTATTCACAATCATAAAATTTTGTCACTTATTTCCTTACACGAGAGCGAAAAAGTGCTCTACATTGTTTAGTTCATTCAAAATTCATTTAGAATCGTGAATTCTGTGGCCCTTGCAGAATAGTTCTTATAAAGTAAAAAAAATCTAGTAACGGGCCAATAATAAAAAATCTTCATTGCTACGGCAACTTTGATCAATACATGTTTCATACCCAGGCCAAACCATTAATATGAGTACAATTTTTCCGTGGTATATTACATTTTGAGTCCCGAAATATTTGTAACTGGAACACCATCATGTCCCTAAATATTCAGAATAAATGCGTAGCCAGTAATAGGTTAT